AAAGTAGGAACCAAAAAATTCCGTCCATAAAGTTTTCTGGCACAGTTAATTATTCTCCCCTTCTTTTTCATTGTTAAGAATTTAGTGTATTAGGGTATTAAAATGTGAAAAAGTAAAAAATCTCCATTCACTCCCTGATGCAATGAGTAACACTTTTTTTTTTTTTTTTTTTTTTGAGGACAGAGTCTCGCTTTGTTGCCAGCTAGAGTGAGTGCCATGCGTCAGCCTAGCTCACAGCAACCTCAATCTCCTGGGCTCAAGGGATCCTCCTGCCTCAGCCTCCCAAGTAGCTGGGACTACAGGCATGCGCCACCATGCCTGGCTAATTTTTGTGTATATATATTAGTTGGCCAATTAATTTCTTTCTATTTATAGTAGAGACGGGTCTTCGCTCTTGCTCAGGCTGGTTTTGAACTTCCTGACCGTCAGCAATCGCCCGCCTCGGCCTCCCAGTGTGCTAGGATTACAGGCATGAGCCACCGTGCCCAGCCGAGGTAACCACTTTTAAGGAATTGTTTTTAATTCTGGCAGCCACATCTTGAGCTGCAAAAATGATCGTTTATGGCCTTAAGCACTATTGGCTCCCTGATGTGAAGGACAAAGAATTTATAATACCTCACTCACTTTTTTTCTCTTATTTATTTTTGTTAGTGATTTTTTTTTTGAGACAGAGTCTCACTTTGTTGCTCAGGCTAGAGTGCCATGGCGTCAGCCTAGCTCACAACAACCTCAATCTCCTGGGCTCAAGCAATCCTGCTGCCTCAGCCTCCCAAGTAGCTGGGACTACAGGCATGCGCCACCATGCCCGGCTAATTTTTTGTATATATATTAGTTGTCCAATTAATTTCTTTCTATTTATAGTAGAGATGGGGGTCTCACTCTTGCTCAGGCTGGTTTCGAACTCCTGACCTCGAGCAATCAGCCCACCTCGGCCTCCCAGTGTGCTAGGATTACAGGCGTGAGCCACCGCGCCCGGCCCTGTTAGTGATATTTTTTATTGGTAGTCTTTCTACTGGGTATCTTTGTAACTTTAAATATGTCTAATCCCCTTTTCTTGATGCTTTGTTTTAAAAATTGAGGTATAATTTATATACCATATAATTTACTCCTTTAAAGTGTTCAATTCAGCGGTTTTTAGTACAGTCCTAGAGCTGTGCAACCGCCACTGCCACATAATTTTAGAGCATTTTAATAACTCAAAAAGAAACTCCTGGGCTCAAGTGATCCTCCTGTCTCAGCCTCCTGAATAGCTGGGACTACAGGCGTGTGCCATCACACCAGGCTAATTTTTTTGTTTGTTTCTATTTTTAGTTGGCTGGCTAATTTTTAATATTTTTTCATAGAAATGAGGTCTTGTTCTCACTCAGGCTGGTCTGGAACTCCTGACCTCAATATCCCCATATCCATATCCCCCTCCCCTGAGCCAATGGCAACCAGTTTTCTACTTTCTGTGCCTATGAATTTGCCTGTTTGGGGTATTTCATATAAATAGAATCATTCAATGTATGGCCTTTTGTGTCTGGCTTCTTCCACTTAAGCATGTTTCCAAGGGCCATCCATGTTGTAGCGTGTGTCAGTACTTCATTCCTTTTAGTGGCTACACAGTGTTCCATTGTGTAGAAATACAACATTTTGTCATCCATCTATCAGTTGATGGATGTGTTTTGTTGTTTCCACTTGTTGGCTATTATGAATAACACTGCTATCAAAATTCATGTACAGGCCGGGCGCGGTGGCTCACGCCTGTAATCCTAGCACTCTGGGAGGCCGAGGCAGGCGGATTGCTCAAGGTCTGGAGTTTGGAAACAGCCTGAGCAAGAGCGAGACCCCATCTCTATTAAAAATAAAAAGAAATTAATTGGCCAACTAAAAATACATAGAAAAAATTAGCTGGGCACCATGGCACATGCCTGTAGTCCCAGCTACTCGGGAGGCTGAGGCAGGAGGATCGCTTGAGCCCAGGAGTTTGAGTTGCTGTGAGCTAGCGATGCCACGGCACTCTACCTGGGCTACAGAGTGAGACTCTGTCTCAAAAAAAAAAAAAAATTCATGTACAGGGTTTTGGTGGACATATATTTTCAATTTCTCTTGGATACATATCTAGAATAGAATTAAAAGTCATGTTCCTTTTTGAGGACTGCCAAACTGTTTTTCAAAGCATTTACCATTTATATTTCCACCAACAATGCCAAGCCTTCCAATTCCCACCTCCTTTAGCCAACACTTGTTATGTCTGTCTTTTGATTATGCCATCCTGCTGAGTGTGACATGGTATTTCATTGTGTTTTGATTTGTTTTCTAATGACTGATGAGTTGAGCATCTTTCATGTACATTACGATATATGCATCTGATCATAGTAGCCTACAAATATTGTTGAACTAATTTATTAATTCTAATTACTTTTCAGATCTTTAGATTTTCTATATCAAGATCATGCATCTGAAAATATAGTTTATTTTCCTTTCGCATCTAGATTCCTTTTTTCTTTTTCTGGCCTAGAGCATTACATGTAATTGTGATTACGTGGTGATGTTAGATTTGCCTCTAGCATTTTGCCATCCCCCCCATGTTGTTCTTTTTTTTTTTTTTAATGAAATTAATTTATTCTTCTGAGGAGCCAGTGGCAGAAGTGGTGAGGACCGCCAACACATTCCTCCCGGCCCCCCATCTGTTCTTTTTATCTTTTCCCCCTCTTATTTCTGCCTTACTTTGGAAATACAGCTTTTATTTTTTTTTGTGTTATTCTTCTTATATTGCTCATTAGCTTATAACTCTGCTTTGTTTTGTTAATCTGTTGCTTTAGGTTAATAGTATTATCATCTTAACTTATCTCAGATCCTACCTTTGAGGGAATAGTTATACCACATGATTGAGTATTAAAAACGTTTGTGATATGTGATACTTTCATTTCTCCCCTCCCAGGCTTTAGTGCTATCTATTGTCATGCATTTGAGGCGTGTGAGTGAGATGTTGAGGAAACCTACAACTAATTTATAATTAATAATATAAATAAGTAAAGTAACATATATGTTATTTAGAGGACGGTGATCTTTCTCTGCCCCAGGCTTGAGACAGTAGCATAGATCATAGCTCACGTGCAACCTATCAGACCTTCCTGCTCAAGCATGTACCTCAGCCTCCCAAGTGTTTTATTTATTATATTTAAGACAGAGTCTCACTTGATTGCCGGACTACAGTGGCCGTGGTCAGCCTAGGCTCACGCAACCTCAAGCCACATGGGCTCAAGCGATCCTCCTGCCTCAGCCACTCCCAAGTAGCATGGACACAGGCAGTGCGCCACCC